GGAAAAAAATGTAAGATGTGATCCAAATATTCACCATTAGAGCTGTATTGTATACACCAATGAAGAAACAATGAAGTGTAGGGCTTTCTTTTTTTGAACCATATCCAAGGTTTTAAGTTTTTCATGAAACCAACCAAGCAAGAATGTGAACTTTAATGAAATAATCTAATAAGGAAGAAAGGCGAGAAGGAAAGGAATATCAAGGTAAGAAAGGAAGGGCAACTAGCCCCTTGGCTAACGTAAATTCTTTTATCAGGACAACAAGGAAGAATCACAGCATTGCTAATGCACATCACACTGATGAGAAAACTCATTAACCTCCCTCTTACTTATTTTGTTTACTTTCCGATGAGCCTTTTAGGATTTTAATGAGCCATTTAAAATTTGTAGCAGCCATTGAGAATTCTATTTCCCTATAACTAAGGCTATTCCTTATAGAGCAAAATCAATATGGCTTAATGAAAAAGTATGTCATGTTAAAGGCTAGCTACACCTCCTCCTTTACTTTCTTCTCTCTTTGTCCTCCCTATTATTTTCTATTTTTCCAATTTCTTTAAAATCACATTGACACTAAACTTTCTTGCTTTAAATCATATCTATTACTTAGTCCATCATAATTATCAACAATGCCCACCTTACATTGTCCTACATCATAAACACTTAGTAATCCAAAGTGTATGCGGATAGTAAGGCCTTATATGAGGATAGCAAACACCTCAAAAATCCTTGACACTACAACCATGATTCCCAATTACAACCCAATTCCTACCCTAAATCCTAAACGCAAGATTCCCAATTCCAACCCTAAATCCCTAAATGTTATAATTAGAACAATTGAACAGAAAAAATGAGAAATTTGCACTTATAAATAATTGAATTAAGGGAGACTGGGTGCTTACCTAGTAATGTTGCGGCAGCGGGGACAGGGTGTGGCGTCAAAGTGACAGGGAGACAGAGAGACAGAGAGACTGCGAGAGAGGGAGAGAGGAGCTTGAGATAGTGAGTATGAGATAGAGAGAGTGAGAGAAAGGGATAGAGGAGCTTGAGAGAATCTAGAGAAAGGAGCTTGAATTAGACAGAATCGAGAGAGAGCTTGAGTGAGTCTGAGGTAGAGAGAGAGAGAGAGTAAAGGCGCCGAAACAAAAATGCACCCAATTTTGGCAAAAACATCAAATTTTTACATGTTTGCGCAACGAGAGTGTTTAAACCTTCGTTGTGCCACCAACTTAAAACAAAAAACAAATTTTTTAATATTTGTGCGACAAACATTTATAAAACGTCGTCACGCATATCTGTAAATTTTATTTATTTTTTCATTTGAACAAATAAATAATTTTTTTTTAAATTAATTTTGTTACAAATTTTAAAGGAAACTTTTGTTTGTATACAAAATAAATACTATTCAATACATATCATTACATTTACATCACAATTTTTCATTAATTCTCATTTGAACTAGAATAAATATCAACACTATCGTCAGATTCAGATTCCCATTCCTCCTCGTCTGTAGGCACTTCAACATCGTCGTTCGCGTGCTCGGGTGCATTGTATCACGATAGATCCCCGAGGTCAATCATAATGGAGTTTATCGGTATTTCAATTTTAGGACCTCTAGCTACCTGATACAGTTCTTGTACAATAGTCATATCTCGTATTGTATCTGCACCAAGTGCCGTTGAAGTCTTGAATTGTTGGTCAGCAACCTCACCATAATTGTCATCCGCAGCAGGATCTTGGTCCGAAATATCATACATCCCTCTGTGCTCAGTCTTCTAAACTACTTTCTATCCCCTCTCGCCTCTAGGGTCATCTATATAGAAAATTTGTTTAGCCATCGCTGCCAAAATGTAGGGGTTGTCGTTATACCAACATCTGTTAGTGTTGACCGATAACAAATCATCGTCTCGCTTAACACCTCCAACCTGATGTGGGTTTGTATCAAACTAGTGACACTTAAATAGGATAACTTGACACGGGTCTTTGTAAAGCAATTGCACAACACTTGCCAGTTTCCATAGAAATCAATGTCTGCAATGTTACCCACACCCGGGACATGTACGCACAAAGCTTGTCATCGTGATCAACTGCCAAAAACTTGATGCCATTTACATGACAACTGGAGTACAATTCTGCGCTTAAGGGCCCAATCGCCAAGTTGTACAATTCTTCAGTGTAAGTGAGCAAATTCATTTCCTTCAATTTCTTCACCTAAATAAATGAGAAAAAGTTGTCATGTTAGTTTAACATTTACAATTATGCAAATAACCCAAAACATGAACAACTTACATTTTTACGAAACCATCGGCGAAACAATTCACGATGCTTTTTGGCATATGAATGTGAAGTATGTTCGTCCTTCATCAACTCTTCATGCTCATCTAGGTAGGCAATTGTCTCGTCACAATTGTTAAGTACAAACCAATGTGCTACCTCCTTGTCCATTTTGTCAAACGATTCCTCTGTGATTGGTTTGCCAAAGAGTCGTGCAATTTGGGCAAAAACATAAAGTTTTTCACTTCTCACACCACCGTCATTATTGCATTGCTGTCGGTTGAATGTAGACTCAACGCCTTATAGGTACATTGCACAACACGTAAGTGACTCAAATCCGACCCATGCCTCCACGATTGATCCTTCGGCTTTGCCCTGTTCCGTACATTCTTTTTTAATTCACCCAGTAATCCACATCAATAAACAAAATATCATAAAAAATTAGTCAAATTGTACATACATCATGAACTAAAGTATTTATGGCAATTATATACCTTTCTATTGGATACATCCATCAATAGTTGACAGGTCCAGCTAGAAGTGCCTTATCCGGCAAGTGAATCATCACATGGATCATGCTTGCGAAGAAAGCTGGAGGAAATATTTGTTCAAACTTGCATAACACTTCAATAATATCATCGCACAACTGTTTAACATCGGACTTGCGCAAAGATCTTGCAGTTAATTGAGAAAAATATCTCGCCAACAACATAATCGGCTTCACCACGTCTTCGGGCAAGAGGTGTTAAATTCCCACTGGGAGAAGACGTTAAAGTATGACATGACAATCATGACTCTTGAGGCCGAAAAATTTGCCTCCATCCACGTTTGCACAATGGCCAATGTTTAAAGTATACCTATCTAGAAACTTTATAAAAGATAGAAACTGCAAAAACTCTTTCCTCTTTTCTGGTTTCACCAAAAACGATGCGAGCTTCTTTCTGGCTATGTCTCCATCCCTTGTCATCCATAAATCTCACCTAATGCCCATTTTTTCCAGATCAGTCTAAGCTTTTATTGTGTCTTTTGTTTTTCCTTCGATGTCTAGTATAGTTCTGACTAGTGTATCAAACACATTTTTCTTAACATGCATTACATCGATATTGTGTCTCAATTGTAATTTGGACCAGTACGGGAGCTCAAACAACCTCGTCTTGTGTGTCCAGTTTAGATGTGTGTCTAGTCTTGTCTTATTTACAGATTTGCCCAATGGAGCAAAATCAAACCGATACACCTGAGCTAAAATTTCATCTCCGGACCATTCTCTAGGTCTTGGCCGAAGCTCTATGCCATTGAAGAAGACTATCTTGTTCTGATACCACTTGTGGTCTCACTGCAACCATCTAGGATGTCTTAGGTAACAAACTTTTCCGGCATGCCAACTAGACGTTGTGTCCTTTTTGCAAATTGGGCATGCGTTATAGCCCTTAGTGCTCCACCTAGACATCATAGCGTACGCAGGAAAATCCTTTATAGTCCACATCATGGCTGCTCTCAAAGTGAACATCTTCCTGGTAGATTTATTGTACGTGGGAACACCGTTTTTCCATAATTCTTTTAGTTCATCGACCAATAGTTGTAAATACACATCAATAAACGTGCCCGGATCTTCGATTATGAACACCGTCATCATCATATATTATTTTTTCATGCACTTCCAGGGTGACAAATTATACAGAATTGCGAAGTCTACTCTTAAGGACAGTGAACTTACACTCCTCAACCTGAATCTTGTTCTAGTCAAGCATCGACCAAGAGCATTTTTACCTTACAAAAGATAAGTATTTTGTCGTTATTAGATTATTTTTATCTATTTTATTATTTTAATGTGGAACGATATTTACTAATATTTATCTTATGTAATTTATTGTAGAAGACATAGCATCCGGATCTCCTATAGTTCCTACATATGGTGCAAGGTTATACATCTTTTAGGTCAAATAGGTAAGAAAAATGAGTTGAACTGGTGTCTTGCAGATGCTCTTAATCCTAAAAAATTAGATAATCTGTGCTACAATGTTTATGTGGATCTTGTCTCTGCCAGCCGGCTCTCAACCAGAAAATCCGTGGGGGAATGGAACATTGCTGAAACAGTATGCATGTAGAGTCAAATGCGTGCTCAAGTGGAATTATCACTAGTGAGGTGATATGTAATTCCAAACATGTATGATTAGGTTTGGTTCCCCACTACAGTTTGGTTGTTGAAACTTGAACCAAGAACAACAAATCAAATTATACATTAGTGGATTAGTGGTCCATTAATATCAAATCAAAACCAAACAAATTCTGTGGTGCTCCACAGTATAATATAATTAAAGATATTTTGAGCATTTTAGATGTTAAATCTTAATTTTTGTATTTTTAGTTAAAAAATTTTCGATTACAAAGCTGAAATATCCAATACTCTGAAGATCTATAGATGCCGAGGTTGAAAGATGTGATTACGAAATAAAGACCCAAGGCCAAAGGAATAGAAGAAGACCTATGAAGGCTTAGAAAGAGACTCTAAGAAAAAACTAGAACTACTTAGATATGACAAAATACATGACACAAAAACCAAACGTAGTGACGTAGTATAACTAGTTGCATTTTCTCTTGTCGCTGTAAAGCGTAAGCTTTTGTAACCACCGCCAAATTCTCTCATCTCCAATTGTCCCACAGGTTCGTAGTTACTGAAATAAAATATCGTTTTCTATAGAATAGAATAAAACACGTAACTCTCCACATGCCATAACAAGTATTTCTTGAATAATAGTTATCACCACGACTCAGTGAACAAATGCCTAACGTACGATAAAACGACATATGGCAACGACCAATGAAAACAAACAAATTCACATAGGAGCTGAAAAAACATCAAAGTAGCAGCTGAACAACGTTGTACCCTTAAACCAAATGTGATCAAAGACTATATACGAGATTTATATCAATAACTAGGGAATAAGACCGACGTATGTTCCAGTAATAAGAGCTAGTGCCAAACTATTCTTTACATACATGTCAATATCCGATGGAACCCCAGCGTCGCTTACTGTTTCCAATATTCATTGTCCCTCCTGCTGTTCCTAAACGCGCAGCATCCAACTGAATACACCACAATCAGGAAGATGAGGAAGACAATGTTGACAATCGCCGTCTTCTTCCAATTACTTTTTATGTTGTCCAGCAGTCCAGCCTTGCACGACTGACAGTTGAAGCACAGAACCTTCTCATTATTCTGCCACGCACTGCAGTCAGGGTTGGAGGAAACGGTAGTAGTGTTGCTCGTCCAGGAGATGGGGCCTTCGTAAGTAAATCCACAATCATCTGATGGCTTACAGCAACCGGCCTGCACATAGGTAAAGTAAACACATTAGAAGACCTGTTATATTCGAGAAGATGGCAAACGAAATAACTACACACAATGCAATCTAAACTACACACAGCGCCGCACAACCACAGGCAGTTCCGTTTTACTTAGGTATATATGTTTCAACATATACATATCTACAAAACTAAAAAAAAAAAACCTCAAAGATAAGAATAACCTTTCAGAGCACAGCTTATTTCCGAAAGGGATTCTTAATTTCTTTCACGACACCAACTATATGCACTTTCAACAAAAAAGCAGGATGCTACTAAGAAGCACGATTGGGAACAACTACCGAATTGCTAAAAACAAAAAAACCAAAGCCATGAAATAACATCATTATTCGCCAAGCACAATCAATTTCTGGACAATAATTTGCCACACAGGAATCTAATCAAAAGTGCAACCGGAAACCAGTAATTTAAAGCATAACGAGACTCGAACATAAAGCATAGGAATGGGACTTTAACGGAGGCACCCCCATCGCGGGAATTTACACCAAACAAGAACAGAGACAGCTGCACAACCACAAAAATGACCATTAATATGGTCTATAGGATGGGATTTGGTTTCTCTTTAAGCATCATTTGTACAATTACGAGCAATTTTCAAGAATAAAGTCTGCATATATAATTGACTTTAATTTGAAAAGGGGGAATTTGCAAAGCATACAAAAGTTGCAGACTGAAGGGATAAAGAAATAAAGAATCCAGCCTTTTTGTCCATCAAGTTGAAAGCTTCAAAGAATACGGCCTTTTAACTTTTCATAAGTCATTACATACAAACACAATTAAGTATCTCCAAATTACCTGGTCCAACAAAAAGTCAGACCTCCAATGCCACCATGCAACACAGAGTAAACATAATCAAAACAAGTTGAAACAACTTTCAACCCGATTCAAATTAATTTGATATTATCATCCCACATCTTTTCTTTAACATACAATTCAGATCTCAAAAAAATTATCACACAGATGAGAATAATAAGTAGCAAAAACCCAAATAAAATCTGAGAAATTAGTTCATCCCAGACACTCATAAACCACAATTCATACCCAAAAACATGAACAAAATTTCGGATCTCGGGACAAGGATTAAGCAAAGTTAAAATAAAAAAAATCCCCAAAAGAAAATTGAAGAAAATATGATACCTGAAGCGCTGACAGGTGCTCAGAATAGAAGGTCTCGAGTGTTTCATTGGCATACTTGTCCTTGAAACTAGAGCAGACCTTGCTGTCAATGAGACAGCTCTTGATCTTGTTCCAGTTCTTGGTGCTGTTAACCCTCTTCTGCAGCCACTGCGAGTAGTCCCCGAGCCTGTACTCCTTGTACCCTTTCCCGGAAAGTACTTTTCCCGCGCCTTTGTTGGTGACGGCGAAGGCGAAGATGGTGACGGCGAAGAGGACCACGATGAGGAGGAACATGACGAGGAGGTAGACCCACAGCAGCCACGAGACGCGGCAGCAGGCGCCAATTAGGCCGGCCAGCGACACCAGCATGAGGAATCCGCCGAGGATGATGATGGGCTTGTCTAGGAACTTCTCGCAGTCGGTATTGCCTTGCTTGCTCAGCCATACTCCGGCCACCACGATCGGAATCGACAGCAGGAACGTTATGAAGTTGAGGAGACCCACCAGGTTGTTGCTTATCCTCATTCTCGCAGACGAATTCAAAAACCCGCTTAGCGAAAATCAAATTTTTAGAGAGAGAAAGGAGAGAGAGAGGTGCAGAAGTCGAATGATAGATTTGTGAGAACTGAGAAGGAGGAGAACGTAAGCAGTGTTTATATCGTGAGTTTTACGGAAGCGTATCGAAGATAAAACTAAGCCGTGCCAAATGTCATTTAAATTTTCCAAAATGGCACGGTAATTATATTTCCAACAATGGCATGGTAAATTTCCAATAACGTCACATGACTCACATGGTAACATCCAAGAAAGTCACCAGCATTTACATGTAGACACTCCTCAATTCAAACTTCATGGTTCGTTTGCTAATTGTAATCAAAATATGAAGGATTAAATAAGAAAGAATTGTATTGAGGAGAAGTTGGAATGGACAAAAATCAGAATTTATTCTTGTTGAAATTGGTTACTAAAACTTTCTGAAATCGAAATAGGAGTAACGTTGCATGAGTCTTTTATTAAATGAAGGGCAATGTTGGGCAACGTTGTGACAACCCGTTCCAAATTTTAAGTTTTTATTTTATTTTAAAAGCGTGAATTTACGAGAATGCCCTAGAGGCGAAGGTTTTGACTTTCATTGACCCACGTGTTGTGAGACGTACTAAATATTCTTTTAGCGTATTCCTGAAGTACTCGATGATATGAACGAGTAAGCGCAAGCATAAGTGAATTGGTACTTACGAACCGAAAGTATTTTGAAGAAATAACTATTCTATTTATATTATATTAATGTATGCTAAATTAGGAGGGGGTGTGTGTGTGTGTGTGTGTGTGACGGAAAAGGAGAAGAAAAAGAAAAAGGAATGTGGGAGAAGAAAGGAGGAGAAGGGAAGGGCTGCTGCCCAATCAGAAAGTGAAGAGAAGTGAGGGACCAACCAGAGAGGAGAGCAAGGAGGAGAAAGGAGGAGAAAAGAAAAGGGGGGAAATCGGGTTTCCCTCAACCCGTGACCCAACCCGTTGAATTCTCCCATCTCCGGCCACCTTGGACGACAAGGTTAGTGTCAAAATGACCCTTACCTCGAGGCCAACCGATCCCTCTTCCATTTTCATGTGAAAATTGGGTGAAAATTGGTGAATTTTGGGTAAAACCGTGCAAAAAAGGGCGCACGGGTTGGGTTTCATTCCGCCATGATTTGAAGCTACCTCCTCCCATTACCACCACAAATAGACTCCTCTCAACCTCAGGAACAAAGCCCATACACTTGTGGAGGCGTTGGAGTGAGCATGGAGGTCGAATCGAAGCACACCCTTTTTAGGGTTTCCGAGGGATTTATGTAAAATTGAAGCTCTTACTGGCCAAATTAGCCTTGGTCATAGGTATGAAAGTTACGCTACTCATTGAGATCTTCATTCCTGTAAATTTTGGTAATTTTTGGAAATAGTTAAATTTTACGGCGAGCCGGGGCGGCCGACCGCCACAGGTGGCGGCACTTGGTCAGTGGGCCGCCAATGCTATTTGTAGGCTATATTAAATGTCTTGAATTCAGTTTTGATATTTGAATGACGTAGGTTGATCATTGGAACCTAAATTCTCTACGATACGTTAACAAGTATTTATGTGAATCGACGATTCGACCGTTGGATCGTCACCAAACTTTGTTACATTGTAGTACGTAATATTTGAAGATTGTAGGAACTTACCAATTGGGAATCCCACATACGGATCTTCCCGAATTGGATTTGTAAGTTCATAAAATAAAATGTTTACCGCCACTTGGTTGTGGCAATTGACGGAGATCTGACCGTCGGATCATAATGAAACCTTAGGATGTGGTTCTAGGAACATAATGTGAATCTTTGGAAGTAACGAATCAGAAATCCGTGATGCTGATCTTCCAAAGTGAATTACGTAGGGATGTGTTTTATGTAAATTATGTATTCTATCGGTAAGAACTCTGAGACGTGATTTGATAATTATTCTAGGCAACATTGGTTCGTGATGTCTAGATACGCGTGCTAGGGAGTCGTAGCGCGGACCTCAGGTGAGTGGGTCTTTTCCTTCCTATCGTGTGTGTGTGTGTGTGTGTGTATGATTGAAAATTCCACAAACATTTATAAATCGATTATTGCTTATAATTATTGTGAATGCTTTGAAGTAATTATTGTGAACTACGAATGGCTTGATCCCTGTTTAGAGTACGTAGGCAGTCTAACGAGATGTTAGATGGAGCCATACAATAAGTGAGATTAAATAATCGAGACAAAAGCTTTGTTTGGGAAAATGAGCAATGTGAAGGAATCTGGTGAAAAACATGAGATTTAACCCTATGTCTTGGTGGTTAAATGTTGGTTATAAATCAATGTATGAAGAATCGAGAAATTGAAGTAAGGAAACGTAAGTAGTGATAGTTAATTTAACTAGTGTCTAGTTGAGCTTGTCACCGATAAGTATTCCCAAAACTAAGTAGTTTGGAAGTGGGGCATTACAGATTATGCATTTCATGCTATGTTATATTTTATATATTGGGAACACTATGAAATGTTTGGGTTTAAATTGTATCATGGCATATTCATATTTATATTACCTGAATCTAATTATTGTGAATGCTTTGACGTGCCAATTGACGCTGCTGACGCTCAGGTGAGATTCAGGTAAGTACACTTTGATGATAATGATGGTAGTGAGTACGATTGTGTTGAGATATATTAGAGCTCATAAACCTACACCTTAGTGTTAGTGCTCCCGCCCATGGCCAGGGCCTAGCCTTCACGTGATCGTTCACCTCCCACACCATACGCTCACCTTGAATCTAAGGTAGGTGCCAACCTGTTGTACAGACCACTATAGGTGGTTCCGACTCGTAGGTGACTTGCGATACTTCGTACAGCCTTCACGTGATTGTGGCACTAGGGCGTATTTATTTACACCCAGCCTGTCGTACAAACCACTATACGTGGTTCCAACTCGTGTGCAGGGATATGTGATGAGCTATGGGTTCAGCCGTACAAGCCACAAGAGGTGGATCCAGCTGACATATTACTAAGATATGAATAAGTCGTACATGTCACTATAGGTGACTCCGACTTATATGCTAGCCATGATTGATGAGATATGTGATGAGATATGAATAAGTCGTACAGGTCACTATAGGTGACTCCGACTTATATGATAGCCATGATTGATGAGATATGTGATGAGATATGAATAAGTTATACAGGTCAATATAGGTGACTCCGGCTTGCGTGCTAATATGGTTTATTAAGCACATGATTATTTATATTGCTAATGAGAGGCTGAGTAGTATTATATTTCTGAGTTTACTGTTAGTATACTTTTGATTTCATACTTCTACGTAGTATGATTTGCTGGAAACTATTCGAGATTTACGGCGAGGGGTTACTACCTTTGATAATGGAAATGATTTTGAAAATCTTTGTTTTGACCACTCACACTTTTTATTTTTTACACCCCTTCAGGTTCTAGTAGCATGGTTCCGTATCAACAAGGACATGTGGCACTCCCAGTTCTAGTGGCATATATGGATGGTATAATTATTATCTTTGTTTACTGTACTTGTTTTATGCTCTGTATCATGTGTGAATGGATCCATACCTGCTCACCGCATAGTTGTGCATATAGGCACTTTTAAGTTTATATTTATTCACACTTTACACATCATCACATTCTATGGCTTCGTCACCTTCCGGGTGTCGGCCAGCACAGCTCGATTCGGAGTCATAGTGGACTTTCAGAGTCAGGGTGTGTCAAACGTTGCATGAGTCTTTTTGAAATCGAAATAGAAGTAGACTTTTATTATGTCTTATATAATAAATTTAATTAAAGTTAGAAAAACAACCTAAGCCATGGCCTAGGCACTAGGCCCCTACCCGCCACCTGACTAGTGCCTAACGCCTTTTAGAGCCTTGGTCCCAACTACTAGTAGCTTGTTGGCAGGACAACTAGAGCCCAAAGACTCTTTTCTACATCAAATGACTAAAATCAATGGGTCGTTGTGACACACCCTGAGCGGAGTTTAGGCGTGTTGGTCGTCACGTGAAAGTGATGTAGCCCAAAAGTGCAAAAGAAGTAATTAAAAAAAATGTGAACAAATTAAAACCAAACTAAAACTTATTCAACTAAAGATAAGTGAGTATGCGGAAGTGGTCAAGCCCAAATTACAAACATTCAGAGCATAGGTTATAAAAAAGTGTAGTCATACATAAAAGAGCACAAAATACAGAACTAGAGAAAAAAACCCTACTTCATTTAGTGGAATACCAGAACCACCGTAAATCCTCGTGTGCCACCAACAAGAACAGCTATCTAGTACCTAGAAGGGCGAAAAATCGAAGGGTGAGTGGGCAAAAACAAAGCTTTAGAAAACACATTTATCTTTTCTAAAAGTACTAACCCCTCACTGTAAAACCCGTATAGTTGCCAGAAAATAATACTATGTATATGAATGAAAATCTATGCACCAAAAGTAGTGACAACAATAGCATGCCATGTCACGATATCTCAGCAATAATAAATGAAAGTCAGGTGTGAATCAATTTAAACTATCATGCCAGTCGGAGTCACCTAATGTGACCTGTACGACTGGACCTATTGCTCATCAGTCTATGCTTGCACACGAGTCAGAGTCACCTAGTGTGACCTATACGACAGGGTTGGGTGTAAATATGTACGTTCTAGTGCTACGATCACGTGAAGGCTAGCAATAAATCGCGGGTCGCCTAGTAGTCGGAGTCACCTGATGTGACCTATATGTAACATCCCACATTGCCAGGGGAGTGGATCCTATAAGCCTTATATGTATATTACCATCTCTACCTAGCACGAGGCCTTTTTGGAGCTCACTGGCTTCGGGTCCCATAGGAACTCTGAAGTTAAGCGAGTTCGTGAGAGAGCAATCCCAGGATGGGTGACCTACTAGGAAGTTGCTTGTGAGTTCCCAGAAACAAAACCATGAGGGCGTGGTTGGGGCCCAAAGTGGTCAATATCGTGCTACAGTGCAGTTAAGCCCGAGATGTGGTGGGGGCCCAAGGCGGGATGTGACAATTTGGAATCAGAGCCAAAACTTGGCCTGAAATATGCCAACAAGGATGTCGGGCCCCTAAGGGGGGTGGATTGTAACATCC